TAAACCATATCAGCTCTATGCCCTTCAACACTGCTCTCGTTCCTGTGCCCTCTCCTACCATCATCTTTCTTTTGCCAACCTCTCTCTCATGGTATATTGCCCTCCACTCTACCCAGTGAATAATTTCCCCTTGCCTCCCACCCCTGATAACATCACAGAATGTTTCTTTTAGCCTGAAGACCTTTTCTTGCGTCTTGACAAAAGCGGTCTTGTGCAATATTTGTCCTTTGTGATTGACTGATTTCACTTGGTAGAATGTCCTCTGCGTTCATCCATATTGTGAGGTATTTCACAGACTTGTTACTCTTCAGTATTGCTTTTGTGTGTATGTACCAATGCTTGATGATGAACCATTCTTCTGTTGAGGGCTTTAGGCTGTCTCCATCTTTTTGCTCTTGTGAGGAGTGCTGCAGTGAACATGGGTGTGCATGGATCGGTTCGCATCACGACTTTATTTCTTTCTTTAACTTTTTATTGTGAATTGAGTGAAGGTTTACAGAACAGATCATCAGTTTTACATTCAACAAATCATACTTTGTTTCATCTCGGTAATTACGATTCACTCCATGTAACAACAGTTATCCCATTTCCACCCTGTGGTTCTAATTTTCATCCCACCCTCCTTCTCAACCCTTCTGAACTTTGTCTTTAGACAAATGATGCCCTTTTCATCTTGAAGGGTTGACCCTTTCATGGTGAACATACCGTGTTAGTGTTGTTCCTCCCTTGTACTTATCTACCACTTGACTGAAAGTTGGACCACAGGGTGAGGTCTCACAGCTCTCGTTCTTGAGGAGAAATACCAACTAAAGGGGTTGCTGGGCCATACAGGATTTCTACTTTGACCATTTTCTACAGTGGTTGCACCATTTGTCACTTCCACCGCTCTCTCTACACCCTCACCAGTATTTGCTGCTTCTGCTTATTTGAACTTTGCTATAGAGGTTCACTCTCTGGTTTGAATATATCGGGGTAAGATGATAGCGCATTGTTTTGATTTGTATCTCTCTAATGGCTGATGATCACAAATATTTCTTCGTGGTTTGTTGACCATCTGAATATCTTCTTTTGGTGAAGTACCTATTCATGTCCTCTGCCCATCCTTTATTTGGATTATTTGTGTTCTTATTGAGCGTTGAAGTGTTCTGTAAATTATAGACAGTAGTCCTTTTCTGATGATGTCATTGCCCCAAAAAATTGTCCCAGTCTATGAGTTCTTCTATCAATCTTGGTGAAATCTTTTGATGCACATAAATGTGTGATTTTTAGGAGGTCCCAATCATCTATATTGTCTTTTATTGTTTGTATGTTTTCAGTTATGTTTGACAATGTATTTATGTCATGTATCAGAGCCCCCAAGTTTGTCCCTGTTTATACACTGATGATCTTTAAAGTTCTAGGTTACACATTTAAGCCTTTCATCCACGTTGAGTTCATGTTTGTATAAGGTGTGAAATTTGAGTCTTGAACTGGATTTCCAGTATTGCTAGTACTATTTGTTGAAGAGACTATCTCTTCCCCATTCCATGTGTTTCAGTCCTTTGTCAAAGATCAACTGAGCATAGATGAATGCATTTACTACTGGACTCTCAATTCTGTCCCATTGATCTGTATGACTTTTGTTGTACCAGTACCAGGTTGTTTGACTCCTGTGGCTGTGTAGTAGGTTTTGAACTCGAGACATAAGAGGCCTCCTACTTTGTTCTTCTTTTTCATGCTTTGCTTATCTGGGGTCTCTTTCCTTTCCATATAAATTTAGTGATTAGTTTTTCCATCTCTTTAAAGTATGATGTTGGAATCTGAATTGGGATTGCATTATACCTATAGATTGCTTTGGGTAGTATTGACATTTTCACAGTGTTAAGTCTTCCTATCCATGAGCATGGTATATTCTTCATTTCTGTAGGTCTCCTTGGGTTCTCGTAGTGGTGTGTTGTAGTTTTCTTTATATAGGTCTTTTGATTCTCTGATTAAATTTATTGTCATGTATTTAATCTTTTGGATGACTGTTGCAAGTGGTATTATCTTCCGATTTCCTTTTTAGAGCTCTCTATATAAGTATAAAGGAATCCAAATGGTTGTGTGTGTGTGTGAATTGATCTTGTAACCCTATCACTTTGCAGAATCTTTCAATGAGTTCCATTAATTGTCTTTCTGAGTCTTTGGGACTTTCTCAATTTCAGATCATATCATCTGCAAGTAGAGTTTTACTTCTTCTTTGCCAATTTGGGTGCCTGTAATTTCTGTTTCTCACTTCATAGTTCTGGTTAAGATTTCCAGACAATATTGAATAGGAGTGGTCAAAAAGGCATCTTTGTCTGGTTCCTGTTTGCAAGAAAAACAGTCAACATAATCTACCACATAAATAAAACAAAGAAAAAGAATAATATGGTTTTATTAGACATTAGACATTTTCCAATGTCTAATTGGAGACTCCCTGACTCATACAGTGAAGTCCGGGAGAGCCAAAACTCAATGGAAAACTTGTTTTCCTGGGTCTCCTAAGTCTCCCACCTTTGAATGGGTACAGTCTTACCACTCTTCTATCACTAGTTTGGGTGGTAAACATTGTAGTGTTCCTCTTCTGACAGATTTCTGCCTTACCCAGGTTTCAGTTTTGCAGGTTTTGTTGTTGTTGTTAGGTGCCATCGAGTTGGTACCAACTCATAGTGACCTTATGCACAGCAGAACGAAACACTGCCTGATCCTGGGCCAACCTCACTATCATTGCCATGCTTGAGCCCATTGATGCTGCCACTTGGCCAATCCATCGCGCTGGGGTCTTCCTCTTTTCTCTGACCCTCCACCTTACCAAACATGATATCCTTCTCCAGAGACTGGTCCCTCCTGACAATATGTCCACAATATGAGAGATGAAGTTTGGCCATCCTGGCCTGCAGGGAGCACTCTGGCCGCACTTCTTCCAAAATGTATCTATTGGTTCATTTGGCAGCCCATGGCACTTTCAATATTCCCCTTCAACACCATAACTCAAAAGCACCAATTCTTCTACGGTCTTCCTTATTCACTGTCCAGTTTTCGCATGCATATGAGGTTACTGAAGATACCATGGTTTGGGTCAGGTGCACCTTAGTCTTCAAGCTGACATCTTTGCTCTTCAACACTTTAAAAAGGTCTTATGCAGCAGATTTGCCTAATGAAATATATCATTTGATTTCTTGACTGCTGCTTCCGTGAGTGTTGATAGTTGATCCAAGAAGAATGAAGTCCTTGTCTACTTCAATCTTTTCTCCATTGATAAGAATGTTGTTTACTGGTCCAGTGGTGAGGATTTTTGTTTTCTTTACACTGAGATGCAATCCATACCGAAGGCTGTTCTCTTTGATCTTCATCAGTAAAATTTTAAGTCTTCTTCACTTTCAGCAAGCAAGGTTGTATCATCTACATATCGCAGGCTGTTAATTAGTCTTCCTCCAATCCTGATGCCACATTTTTCTTCATATAAGCCAGCTTCTCGGATTATTTACTCAGCATACAGGTTGAATAAGTATGGTGAAAGAATACAATCCTGTTGCACACCTTTCTTAATTTTAAATCATTCCATGTTCCCATGTTCTGTTCAAACAACTGCCTCTTGGTCCATGTACAGATTCCACATGAGCACAATTAAGTGTTCTGGAATAGAAATCAAATTGTATGTTTTACTGATACTTCATTTCATTGTTTTATAGACAGAAGACACTCTTTCTGCTGTTGGTTCTTTCCATGGTGTGGTTTTGTACCCTTGTGACACAGTGTGTTTGTGTGTGTCCTAGTCTGCATGCCACCCTGGGTCACTCTGGTCTCCTAATCATTTTGTTTGCTTTGCTCTAGTTTGAATATATTAAGGCTCACTCTCTGTGCTGTATGGTTCTATAGTTTTTATAGACTAATGATGCCATGTGCTTCCCACTAACTGCATTCCATAGAATAATAGCTTCACTCTTCTGAAGTCTTGTTACTTCACCTGTTCATCACTGGTCCCCCTGCCATTGAACTTGGCAACCATGGATATGTCTCCCATCGTTATAGTTTTGTCTTTCTCAGGTGTCATAAATGGAATTAGATGGTGTGTAGCCCTTTCCGACTGGCTTCTTCACTTGTTGTGTGCCATTGAGTCGATTCCAACTCTTTGTTATTGTTGTTGTTAAGTACTGTCGAGTCAGTCACAATTCATCGTGACCCTCTCTAGAGTTTCTACGGAGCAGCCACCGACCTTGTGGTTAGCAGTCCCGTGGACGTCCTAGTAGGGTTTCCTAGACTGCAATCTTTATAATCAGTTGTTCAAACCTGTCAGCCACTTCATGGCAGCTTCTGTAAAGATGACATCCTTGGAAACCCTTCGGAATCATTCTTCTCTGACCTTTAGGGTTACTGAGAGTGAGAATCGACTCATTGGCAGTAGGGAATATTTACAGAAGCAGTTCAGTGATCCTTCCTCCCACGGCGCTGAGGGTTGGGTTCAAACTACTGACTCTCATGGGTTTGATGGTATCAGCTGTGATGTCTATGAAAGTGTCAAGTTATACATTGGAAAATGAAGATAAATAAAATCACAGGATCTGTGGGTAACTAAGATTTCCTCCATAATAGCAGACTAGGTGATTTGGAGAAAAATGAAAAATAAATCTTAATATTGCACCACCAGGTCCCCTTAAATAACCTCAAACTTACCTGACGTTTCAAGAGCCCTGGTGAGTGTTGTGGGTTAAGCTTAGGGCTGTTGACTGCAAGGTTGGGAGTTCAAACCCACCAGCTGCTCCAAAGGAGGAAGATGAGACTGCCCGCTCCCGTGAGGATTTGCAGTGTCAGGAAGCCCGAGGAGCAGTTCTCCTCCGTCCTGTAGTCATCTACCGCTCACTGGTGGTGGTGGTGGTGGGGGGACAGTGGGGGTCCCTGAATTTTAATGTCTAAATTGTATTAACTGTCCACAGGTTCCCTTTATTTCTTCTCTCCTGTCATTCTCTCTCTGAACCTTGATATCTCTGCCCTGGAACAAGATGGCAGCATCTTTCTTTTCTGATTTTGGCCTCATGTGGTATCTGGAGGAGCTCAAAAAGGAGGAGTTCAGAAGATTCAAGATGCTCCTCAAGGACGAACCATTGCAGCTTGGACTTGGACAGATTCCCTGGGCCGAAGTCAAGAAGGCGACACGAGAAGATCTTGCCAACCTCCTGCTCAAGCATTATCAGGAGGAGCAAGCATGGGATGTGACCTTCAGGATCTTCCACAGGATCAACAGGAAGGACCTCTGTGACAAGGCCAAGACAGAGAGTACTGGTGAGTGGACCTGGAAGGGGAAACCAGCTCTTACAAAGCGGACTCTGCCGTCATTTTAATATATCGTGTCTATGCCCGGTTACAGCAGGGCCGGAGTGCACTGTGGGACCACATTACCTTGTAGTCAAGAAACCAGTGAATTGAGTTAGACATGGTGCTTATGTGTGGTCAAACGTGGGTGGGTGGCCTGTCCTCCGGAGTCCCTGAGTGGCACAAGTGGTTAAGTACTCAACTGTAAACCAAAAGGTTGGCAGTCCAAAGCCACCCACATGAGTCTCGGACTAGAGGCTTGGCAATCGACTTCCACGAGATCAGAGCCGTGGAAACCCCTGGGAATGTTGTCTCACTCTTATACCCGTGAGTACACCCTGAGTTGGAATTGACTCGAGGACAACTGGTTTGGTTGCTTCCTGTTGATTTGTAGCATGTCTTGACCTACTGAGCACCTTGGTTTTAGGTCATCGGTAATTTCCCCTAAGCTGAGAAATTGACCCCAAGTCAGATCCTCTCTGTAAGGTGAAGTGGTGCCGAGGGAGCTGTGGATCTGGCCCACTGTCTTAACAGACATCTGAGAAGAGCCTACAAGTAGCAACATTTGCCATAGAGTCTACACTGAATTAAGGAATCCTGGTAGCATAGTGGGTTACGAGCTAGGCTGCTAACTGCAAGGTCAGCGGTTCAAACCTACCAGTCATTCTGTGGGAGAAAGATGAGGCTTTCTGCTCCTGTAAAAATTTACAGCTTCGAAAACCCTCTCCAGGGTTGCTGTGAGTCAGGACTGATTTGGTGGCACACAACCACCATCACCACCACCATCATCACCACCACCACCAGCACCATACACTGAATTAGTGGTAAATTGGTGTGTGTATCCAAAACAGGTTCTTTTGTGAGTCAGGAGTAAGAGGAGGAAGTAAAATGAATGGCTACTTATCTCCAGGACTAATTGCCATTGTTGCTATGAAACCAGAAGAACCCGAGGGGTCCTGGCGCCAGTATGCAATATTTTGATCAAAGATTCTGTAGAAAAATTCTGATCCAAAAAGGGAAGATGCAGAACAGAATTTTCAATTCTCATGGAATCGGGATTTCTGGAATGCTTGAGGCTGAGTGAACCCCCAAAATCGTTGCCCTGAGACAATATTTAAACCTTAAACCAAAATTATCCCCTAAAGTCTTCTTAAAACCCAACAGTAGTTTAGCTCGACTAGTAATGACTGCCTGCCTTGAGCACTGTGCTCTTTTAAGATCAGTTTATCTGGGATCAATATGACAACAGCATCGCCAAAGAGATTAGATAGGAAAGTTAGGAATCAGTGAGTTCAGAAAAGGAGTAAGAACAGCTGCACAACTCACAGAATGGGAGTTGCGTCACACTGAATTATACATTTCGTCACTGTTGGGTTGATGTATGTTGTGCTGTGTATATTCTCGAGCAACAAAAATGAACACCAGCAACCAAAAAGGTCTTTTCATATATCATCTTTCAGGTGTATTCCATACACAGTTAGTTACTCAAACATGTTGCTCACAAGTCGATTCTGACTCATCATGACCCCTTCAGACAGAGGACAGCTGCCTCATAGTGTTTTCAAGGCTGTAGCCTTTGCAGAGCCCTGGTGTGGCGCTGTGGGTTAATGTACTGGACGGCAAAGTCAGCTTAATCTGCGAGGCTGGCAGTTCAAACTCACCAGCTGCTCCTTGGAAACCTCATGCAGAGTCACTATGGGTCAGAACCGACTCGATGGCACACAACGGCGACAACAATATTTGCAGAAGTAGACTGCCTCATCTTTTTTCCCAGGGAGCCTCTGGTGGGTTTGAACAGTTGATCTTTTGGTTAGCAGCTCAGCACTAAACCAGTGCACCATCAGGGGTCCTTACCTCTACACACTCGGGTACATCCTATACACTCTCTCTTGCTCTTTTTCCCCATAAAGAGATCATTGCCTACTTTTAACATCTGTAGACGATTCCATGGTTCCATAATGGGTAGTCACACAGCTCTTTGTTGTTGTTGTTGTTGTTGTTGTGTGTCTATCATCAACTGGGTCCCAACTTGTAACCACTCTGTGTTGGGTTTCCGAGGCTGTAAATCTTGACAGGAGCAGAAAGCCTCATCTCTCTTCCATGGAGCAGCTGGTGGATTGAGATGCTGTGTGGTTAGCAACTCAATGTGTACCCAATCTGCCACCAGCGCTCTATGCTCTATTCGATAGCAACAATGAATATCTGTGTGTTTCTGTGTGGGTGTGTTGATGTGTGAGTGGGTAGGAGTGGTATCTACAGCAAGGATTAGCAAGCATTCTGTAGAGGGTCAGAGAAGTAATATTTTAGACTCTGTGGGCCTTGACAAAGTTTCTGTGGCAACTGCTTAAGGTTTGTCATTATAACAGAAAAGCAAGTGGTGGTGTTGTTAACATGCCATTGAGTCATTTCCAACTCACAGTGAGCCTGCAGAAGGTTTCCAAGGAGCAACTGGTGTGTTTTGAACCACTAACTTTGCAGTTGGCAATCCAGTGCTTATCATCCAGCACCACACCAGGGCCCCTAAAGCAAGTGTAGACGACACATAAGTATCATGGCTGTGAACTTGTATTTACAAAACCAGACTGTGGACCAGCTTTGGCCCGTGGTCACAGTCTGCCAACCTCTGAGAAGATACCACTCCAAGAAGTAAAATTGCAGGGTCAAAGAGTATATGTATGAATGTTTAACATTCATAGGTTCTGTTGTGTTTTTTTTCTTCTTGTCCTCACTGACGCAGGATATACAAAGATGTATCAAGTTCACATAAAGAAAAAAATCAGCCACATATGCTCCCGAGAACCCCTCACTAGGATTCACGATTACTTTGAGCAGAAGGAACATGAATACATGAAACTCCTTTTTGAACCTAAGGCAACTGGAGAAGAGCCACCACGTACTGTGGTCCTTATGGGAACCCAAAAATTCGGGAAGACAACCCTTCTGCTCAAGTTAATGTTGGCCTGGGCAAAGGGCACCCTTTATCCAAATAGGTTCTTGTATGTTTTCTACTTCTGCTGCCGAGAAGTGAAGCTGATGACAGTAACTAGCTTGGCTGAGTTGATCTCCAAAGACTGGCCCGAGCCACCCGCACCAACAGCAGAGGTCTTGTCCCATCCAGAGAGACTCTTGTTCATCATTGACAGCTTTGAGCAGCTGACGTGTGACTTGGAAGAACTTGAGCCTGACTTGTGCAGTGATTGGACGCAGCAGCGATCGGGAGAGGTGGTGCTGGGTAGTTTGCTAAAGAAGAAGATGCTTCCAGAATCCTCACTGCTCGTTGCCACCACACCCAAGTGCCAGCAGGAACTGGAAGCTCAGCTGGAGCACCCAGAAATTAAAGCCATCGTGGGGCTCGATGAGAGCGACCGGAAACTGTACTTTTCCTGTATCTTTCAAGACAGGAGGCGAGCCACGGAGGCCTTCAGCTTTGTAAGAGAAAACGAACAGCTCTTCTGCATGTGCCGCATCCCTGTCCTCTGCTGGGTTGTGAGCACCTGCCTGAAGCAGGACATGGAGAGAGGCAGAGACCTGGCCGTCTCCTGCCGCAACGCTACCTCTCTGTACACCTCTTTCATCTTCAATGCCTTCGCACCCGCGGGGGCTGCATGGCCTTATCAGCAGAACCATGCACAGTTAAAGGGCCTGTGCTCCCTGGCTGTGGAAGGCATGTGGACGGACACATATGAGTTTGATGGAGAGGTTCTCAAGAGAAATGGGCTAGTTGAAAGGGACATCTCTGCGTTGTTGGACGTAAAGCTTCTTCAGAAGTGCAGGGGGTATGAAAACTCATACACATTCATCCATATGTGTGTCCAGGAGTTCTGTGCTGCTATGTTTTATATGCTAAAGGGTCCCGAGGATCACCCCAACACAGCTGTTGGATGCACCAAGACACTGCTATTGACCTATCTACAGAAAACAAAGGCACACTGGATTTTTTGGGGGTGTTTTGTGTTCGGTCTTTTAAATCCTAAGGAAGAGCAAAGGTTGAATGCGTTCTTTGGCTTCCAGCTGTCCCTGGAGGTCAAGCAGCAAATCTACGAGTGCCTGAAGAGTTTAGGTGAGCATGACCATCTGGAGGGAAACATGGATTTCTTGCTGCTGTTTTACAGTTTGTTTGAGATGCAGGATAAAGACTTTGTGATGCGGGCGCTGGACTGCTTCCAAGAAGTTCGTTTCGCTGTCACTGACAGCGTGGACTTGATGGTGTCTGCCTACTGCCTACGACACAGTTCTGGCTTGAGGAAACTTTCTTTCTCCACCCGAAATCTCTTCAAGCAGGAGGATGAAGGGGGCGCTATGTGAGTACATCCAGTCATTTACCTCCATCTGTCCATGTTCACGAGTGGGTTCTGCGATTGAGGGGCCAGTTCAGTATCATGGGTAAGACTTCCTTTTCTGTGTTCACGTCCTGACCTGACTCTCTGGTGTATGTCCCCTTCTCCAGGGGATTTCTCCTTCCTTTGGCGGTGGTGGTTTTGTGCTGCCGAGTTGGTTCTGACTCATAGTTGATCATGTATAGGGTTCCCAAGGCTATCAATGTTCACAGGAGAAGAAAGCCTCCTCTTTCTCCCACAGAGCGGCTGGGAGATTCCAACTTCCGACCTTGTGGTTAGCAGCCCAGTTCATAATCCTCTATGCTACCAGGTCTGTACTTCAGTGTTCATTATAAAAGAGGTAGTCATAGTCGCTGCCACATCATGAGGTCATGTGAGGACTGAATAGAGAAGACATAGGAAGTGTGCTTCCTGCATTTCTCAAATTGTGTTGTAGTTGTTGTTGCATATCCTGGAGTTGGTTCTAACTCTTAGCGACTCCGTGTGACAGGGAACTACTAGACTGTGAGCTTTACCAGCAGATTGCCAGATCTTCCTCCCTTGGAGCCACTGCGTAGGTTTGAACTGCTAACCTTTCAGTTAGCTGCTCAGTGCTTACCTGTTTGTACCACCAAGACACCTTTCTCAAGTACAAACTGATATGTTTTTATAGTTAATACCGTATGGCTCATATAGGTAACACGTTCAGAGTCTTTACCTCACAACTAGAAATTACCTTTTCAAAATTTATTACGAAATTTAAATCTCTTAACATTCAGATGTCTTGTTTTCAGGAAGATAGTCTATTATGCTTATATACTGGGGGTAAGGAGCCATGGTGGCACTGTGGATTAAGCATTGGTTGCTAGATGCAAGGTTGGCAATTCAAACCCACAAGCTGATCCGTGGAGAAAAATGAGGCTGTGTACTGTTCAAAGACTTAGTCTCAGAAACCCTATATGATGTTGCTAATGAGTTGGAATCAACTTGATGCCAGTGGGTTTACATACTGGGAGTTGTTGTTAGGTGCCATCAAGTTGGCACCGACTCATAGTGACCCTATGCAGAACAGAACGAAACCCTGCCCGGTCGTGCACCAACCTCGCAATCATTGCTAAGTTTGAGCCCATTGCTGCTGCCAATGTGCCAATCCATCTCATTGGGAGACTTCCTCTTTCTCTCCAACCCTCCACTTTATCAAACATGATATCCATCTCCAGGGACTGATCCCTCCTGACAATATTTCTGAAGTATCAGAGACAAAGTCTGGCCATCCCAGCTTCCAAGGAGCATTCTGGCTGGATTTCTTCCAACCAACACAGATTGGTATCTTCTTTTGGCAGCCCATGGTTTAATATTCTCCTTCAACACCATAACTCAAATGCATCAATTCTTCTATAGTCTTTCTTGTCCATGTTTCACATGCATATGAGTTTATTGAAAATACCATGGCTTGAGTCAGGCACACCTTAGTCCTCAAATTGGTATCTTTGCTCTTGAACACTTTAAAGAGTTCTTGTGCAGCAGATTTGCCTAATGCAATATGTCATTTGATTTCTTAAAGAGCTGCTGCTTTCTTGAGTGTTGATGGTGGAGCCGAGTAAAAATGAAATCGTTGACATCTTCGACCTTTTCTCCATTTATCTTGATGTTGTTTTTTGGTCCAATGATGAGGATTTTTGTTTTCTTTACATTGAGATGCAATCCATACCGAAGGCTGTGCTCTTTGATCTTCATCAGTAATTATTTCAAGTCCTCTTCACTTTCAGCAAGCAAGGCTGTATCATCTGCTTATCGAAGGTTGTTAATGAGTCTTCCTGTAATCCTGACGCCATGTTCTTCTTCATGTAATCCAACTTCTCAGATTATGTACTCAGCATATAGATTGAGTAAGTATGGTGAAAGAATACAACCCTGATTCACACCTGTCCTAATTTTAAACCATTCTGTTTGTCCCTTGTTCTGTTGAAACAACAGCTTCTTGGTCTATGTACAGCTTCCTCATGAGCATAGTTAAGTGTTCTGGAATATGCATTCTCTGCTATGTTGTCCATAACTTGGCATGAGCCACACAATTGAAAGCCTTTGCACAGTCAAATGGATGAAATGGACTGGTATTGGCCATTCTGAATCTGACACTCACATGGTTTACTATGCCAGGAATGACAAATTGAAAAGGAATGGCATCACATTCATCATCAAAAAGAATATATCCTGATCTGTCTTGAAGTACAATGCCGTCTGTGATAGGATAATATTCATAACACCTACAAGGAAGACCAGTTAAAACCACTATTATTCAAATTTACGCACCAACCAGTAAAGCCAGTGATGATGAAATTGAAGAATTTTTCCAACTTCTTCAGTCTGAAATTGATCAAACATACAATCAAGATATATTGATCATTACTGGTGATTGGAAATACAAAGGTTGGAAACAAAGAGGAAGGATCCATAGTTGGAAAATATGGCCTTGGTAATAGAAACGATGCTGAAGATCACATGATAGAATTTTACAAGACCAATGACTTCTTCATGGCAGATACGTTTTTAAAACAACATAAAAGATGACCATGCACATGGACCTCACCAGATGGAATACATAAGAATCAAATTGAGTACATCTGTGTTAAGAGACAGTGGAAAAGCTCCATGTCACCAGCGACAGACTGTGAAACAGACCATCAATTGTTCATATGCATGTTCAGACTTAAGATGAAGACAATTAAAACAAGTCACAGAGCCAAAATGTGACTTTGAACATATCCCACTCGAATTTAGAGATTATCTGAAGAACATATTTGATACCTTAACTACTAAAGACAGAAGACCAGAAGGGTTATGGGACGACATCAAGAACATCCTACAGGAAGAAAGCAAAAGGTCACTAAGAAGACAAGAAAGATAGGAAACACCAAAATGGAGGTCAGAAGAGACTCTGACACTTGCTCTCCAGTGTAGAGATGCTACAACAAATGGAGAAAATGAGGACAGAAAAGAGCTGAATAGAAATTTTCAAAGTCAGCTCAAGAAGACAAAGTCAAAAAAAAAAAAAAATCAAATGTGCAAAGAGCTGGAGTTAGAAAACCAAAAGGGAAGAAGAGCCCCAGTATTTCTCAAGCTGAGAGAACTGAAAAAACATTCAGGCCTGAAAGTGAAGAGGACTTAAAATACTTACTGATGAAGATCAAAGAGCACAGTCTTTGGTATGGATTGCATCTCAATGTAAAGAAAACAAATATCCTCACCACTAGACCAATAAACAACATTCTTATCAAAGGAGAAAAGATTGAAGTTGTCAAGGATTTCATTCTTCTTGGATCAACTATCAACACTCATGGAAGTAACAGTCAAGAAATCAAACGATATATTGTGTTAGGCAAATCTGCTGCACAAGACCTTTTTAAAGTGTTGAAGAGCAAAGATGTCAGCTTGAGGACTAAGGTGTGCCTGACCCAAGCCATGGTCTTTTCAATAACCTCATATGCATGTGAAAGCTGGACAGTGAATAAGGAAGACCGTAGAAGAATTGATGCCTTTGAGTTGTGGTGTTGGAGGAGAATATTGAGAGTGCCATGGACTGCCAAAAGAACCAATAGATCAGTTTTGGAAGAAGTGCAGCCAGAGTGCTCCTTGGAGGCCAGGATGGCCAAACTTCGTCTCTCATACTTTGGACATATTGTCAGGAGGTACCAGTCGCTGGAGAAGGATATCATGTTTGGTAAGGTGTAGGGTCAGAGAAAAAGAGGAAGACCCCAGAGAGATGGATTGTCAAAATGGCAGCATCAATGGGCCCAAGTGTGGCAACAATTGTGAGGTTGGCTCAGGACCAGGACCAGGCAGTGTTTTGTTCTTTTGTGCATAGGGTCGTTATGAGTCAGTACCAACTCAATGGCACCTAACAACAACAACATCCTAGGAGTAGCTCCCTGTATATAAATGAGTTGCATTTGATTCATAACCTACAACCACCTCAAATAACCTAACGATTGGAGGTTCTAACTCATCTAGCAGCTCCACAGAAAAGAGACTGGTGTTCTTTCCATGAAGATTAGTCAAGAGAACCCATATGGAGCACAGTTCTACTGCATAACCGGTAAGGTTTCCAGGAGTTGGAATCGGTGTGACAGCAATGGATTTGGTTTCAGTTTTCTATAGTGAGAATGGCTTGGGTTGGATTTTCATCCACGAAAAACATTGTCTTTCTTTTTCATTGCAGATCAAGTTGCAGTCTTGCCCAGTGGCATTACATCTGCTCTGTGCTTACCACAAATGAACACCTCAGAGAACTACAAATATCCAACTCGGTCCTCAGTGAGTCAGCTTTTGGGACTTTGTGTAAAGAGCTCAGGCATCCCAATTGTCACCTTCAAAAGCTTGAGTAAGTTGGAGCTCCACCTAGACTTGAGCGTATTGTGGAAATTGCAGATTATGCTTAGCTTTCTGGTGAAGCCAATTGCTATCACATAATTAACAATCTGTAGCAGGTTTTCTCAGCCTTCATGACAAAGAATTATTATGTAATTGTGGTAACCAAACAATGTCTCCAGATACTGTTAGATGTCTCCTCAAGGACAAATCTGTCTCCATTAAGAACCACTGGTCTGGACTGATTTGTAATAGTGATGCACAAACTAAATTCAATGAAGTGTTCAGGAGGGAGTTACCACCGCTCTAAGTGAACATTCTTAGAGGTAGATGGGAATACCGTCAGTGATGCTGGTAAGATGAAAAGAAAGAAGGAAGGATCGTCTCTTAGGCTAGGTTTTCTCAAGAAACAAAACCAGTGAAGCTTATATATGTATACACAGAGAGGGGTTTATACCAAGGAAGTGGCTCACACAGTTGCAGGAGCCAATGAGCTCCAAGTCTGTGGGTCAGGTGTCAGGCTGGAGGCTTCTTCCTCCAGAGCTGTCAGAACTGATGAACCCAGCTTTGATAGGCCATACAGCAGGCTTTTCTAGCTGCAGACATGAATGAACTCAAGGTTGGCAGGCAATATAACAGGCCGTGGGCTCGAGTCCAAAGAGCTGGAGGTCAGATGATGAGCCAGGTGCCAGAGGATCCAGACCCAGTGAAAAAACAAGCAAACTTTGCTCAAGTGTCTAATGCATTGGAATCAGGCCACACCCCTAGGAAACTTCCTTTCAATTGACTGGGTGCTCATAGTAGATTTCATCATAGAGATGATTACATTATATCAGATCTCATCATCACAAGGCTTGACTACATCTTAAGCCAAACCACTGAGAATCCTGGTCCAGTTACAATGACGATGACGCCAACCTTAATTATCACAGATAGTAGCCTCGTGTTTTATCCAATATTTTTTCAACAGATACTAATGGTATTAATTAGCATCGACTTCTTGAGTAGCACAAATAATTACACACTTGACAGCTAACCGAAAGGTTGGTAGTTCAAGTTTGTCCAGAGATACCTCAGAATAAAGTTCTGATCTGCTTCCAAAAAAAGAAAAATCAGCTGTTGAAAATTTTACGCAGCACAGTTCTACTCTGCTTTGCACACACAGAGTTGCCGTGAGTCAGAACTAGCTCAGCTGACAACAGCATTTGCCAGGCACTTGGATACAATCCCCCTAGGGAGGCAGAGAATCACCAGGTTGAGAAGCACTGAGTACGTTTGGGTTGTGAAATTAAGCTATCTTGGACACAGGAAGCAGTCAAATGTCATAAACAAGGCTCTCAGTCTAATTCCCCAAACTTCATTGGATGAAACTCATCCCCAAAATGTGTCTTTGTCTTTTGCAGGATAAGTAATGTTACTCTCATTGGTGAAAGCTGGCTTTTATTTGAGGTATTCACTCAGAACCCACATTTGAGATACGTGGACCTCAGCCATACATCGCTTTCCGATTATGATGTGAAGATGCTCTGTGAGGCTTTGAACCACCCATCGTGTAACATAGAAGATCTCATGTAAGCCGCCCGCTCACCAGACTCACAGGTTGCATGCCAGAGAGGGCTGTGCACTTCTAAATACATCTACTTTCCTCTTCTTTTCTATTCCTCATACTCAAAATTAGCTTCTGCAGACTGCTTGAGACCTTGAAAATATAATACTGAAATTAAGATTCCTAACTTGGTACAACCACTTCAGAAAATGATTTGTCTATATTCCACTTTCATGGATACTGTTGTCATTGTTGTTAAGTGCTGTTGAGTTGGTCCCGACTCATGGCAACCATGTATAGAGTTTCTAAGGAGTGGCTGGTGGGTTTAAACTGCTGACCTTGCAGTTAGCAGTCTAGTGCTTACCTTACCGTGCCACCCCACACCACACCAGAACTCCTAGCATATTGTATAACCCAGATATTTTACTCTTAGGTGTATACTCAACAGAATTGCACATGTAAGTTTGCTGAAAACCAAAATCAGCTGTGATTCATGGCAACTCAGGAATGTCCGAGAAGAACTGTGCTCCACATGGTTTCAATGGCTGACAGTTTACATCTCCAGACCTTTGAGTGGACTTGAACCACGAACCTTTCAGTTAGCAGCTGAGTGTTAAGCATTTGTGTCACTCAGGGAATCCAGTTTTACTGAGTCAGGTATACGATTGTTTATGGCAACTTTATGTACAACACCTGGAAAATTGAAGCATGATGCTTTGAAGGTTTATCCATGTTGTGCTATGTCCCAGTAAGGAGCCATGATGGAGCAATAGTTAAGCACTCAGCTGCTAGCCAAAGCATCAGTGGTTCAAACCCACCAGTGGCTCATGGGAGAAGAGATGTTGCAGTCCACTCTGTAAAAACGACCCCTTGGGAACCTGATGGAACACTTCTACTCTGTCACACGGAATCACTATGGGTCAGAATCGATTCAGTGACACCAAACAACGAAAAGGATGTAACAGTACTTCTATTTTTTTATGACTCGATAGTTAAGTATTCTATTGTGTAGACATACTGCATTTTGTTGATCCATCTATCAGTGAATGGACTAATTTGGGTTGTTCCCACCTTCTGGCTATTGTGAACGATGCTGCGATCAACATTCATGTTTGAACGCTTGTTTTCAGTTCTTTTGAGTAAATGTGAAGGTAAGTCCAAAAGTATTGCTACACAATCATAAAACCTTTATTAAACAAAAATATCAAAATGTGAACTTAACTCTTTCCTCACTGATACACTTCTGAAGGTGGTGTTTCCAGATTTTCAGCCCTTTCCTGAAGAATTCTGCACTCTTGAATTTCACTGTGTCAGTATGGCAGTTTCAACACCCTTGAGGGACTCAAATTGTGTTCCTTTTCAATGTTCTTTGAGTTTGGGGAACAAAAGGCAGTCTGAAGGGGCAGGGGCAGAGTGGTAGGGTGGACAGGACAAGGTTTCCCAATGAAATTCTCATAGGATGAACCTTGCTATCCTCAGAATGGTCATGCTTGTGATGGAAGCATTTTCAGTCCTGTAACTTTCCCAGTCTTTTATTTACCAGTGCAATTTTCAATTTTCTTCCTAATAAGCCCTTGTGATCACCCTGTATCCTTTGAGAGATTCTCGCAGATGACCCCTCTTTGCTATTCCCCAGATTAACAGACAAGATCATCCATTTGACATTCAACAAATCACACACTTTGTTTCATCTCAATGTTTGCAATCCCTCCAGCCAACCACCTTCCCATCCCTTCACAATTTTGTCCCTAAATACCTGTTGTCCCTAAATCCATTTTGAATGATTGACTGTCCAAAATTCATAGTGAGCGTGCCTTACTAGTGAGGTTCCCCACCCCCATATACTTATCCTACTGCTTGGCTGAAAGTTGGGCCACAAGGGAAGGGTGAGTTACTTCCACACCTGAAGGGTGGTGGAGGGCCATATTCTGAGGTTCCTCCATCTCCTTTGACCCATAAGCCCGTGGCCCTATTCTTCTGATCTTAGCTCTCTTCCTTGAATTCATCTTTAAGGTCTTCCTGAACTTCCCCCTTAACACTTGACCCATCCTCTAAGAAATCAAGTAAAACATCCATTAGAAAATAGATAGATGATCTAGTAGATAATGTTTCAAACAGGTTATCCATATGCCAAAGAAACATACAAAAAATAAAAATTTAAACGAAACTACCATATCCTTAAAACTAGACCAGCCCTACTCCTAAGCCTAGCCTAGCCACTACCCCTAATCCTAGTCCTAACCCTAACTGGAACATGTCACAAAGCCCTAGCCCTAGTCTAACCCTAACGCCTTAGCCCTGGTGGTGGTTATGTGCTGTGAAGTCTGTGCCGACTCCTAGCAACCCTGTAGTGGGTTTCTGAGGCTGTAAATCTTTACAGGAGTAGAAAGTCTCATCTTTCTTCCACAGAGCAGCTCGTAGATTCAAACTGCTGACTTTGCAGTTAGCAGCTTAACTGTTAACCCACTATGCTACCAGAGCTCCTTAGCTCCTTACCCCTAAGCCCCCAAACAAACAAACAAAAAAACCCCAGCAAATGTGAAAACATCACAAAAAATAACCCATTTAATCTGTCTAAAAATCATTATATGTGGCTCAGCATTCTTGTAAACTTATTTCAATTATTTGGAACGATGTCCTTTTGTGGTTTGTTAAAATTTTAATATTAGCCCTGAATTCAAAATTATTTTTCCAAGGCACACACACACACACACACACACACACATGCCTAAAAAAAAAACACACACACACACACAAAACAGTTTAAGACACCATAACACAGCTACAGTGTTTAAGACATAGGAACACAGCTAAGACAGGCATATTGCTAAGAGAGCTTGTCTTCAGTCACCATTGATTGCAGAAACATGTTTAAACACATTTTCTTTGGAATAAACCTGTGTATGGATGAACTGGAACCTAATGTTTACTTATTCTCATACACTGAGGAGTGGAATTGTGTGGCAGCACATTGTAATTCTATGTTTAACTCTTATTAAGTGCTGTGGAGTTGGTCCTGGCTCATAGTGACCCTGTATAGGCTTTCTAAGGAGCAATTGGTGGGTTTGAACCACCGACCCTGCAGCCCAGTTTTCACAGCTATGACAATGCTTACCATTTCCGTCGGCAGTCATGGGAGTTCCCGTTTCTCTGTCATTATTTCCTGGGTCTTGTTTTAATAATAGCCATCCTGTTGTTGTGTGAAATAGTATTCCATCATTTTGATTTGTATTTTCCAAATGAGTAGTACTGTCCAGTATCTTTGTAACTTATTTCAATTATTTGGAACGATGTCCTTTTGTGGTTTGTTAAACGCCTGTTGCTAGTTTCTTTGAGGAAATAATCGTTCAAGTCCTTTCCCTGTCTTTCAATTGGATTGTCTATTGGCTGCTGAATTGTGAAAGTTTTATATATTGTTGTTGTTGTTGTTGTGTGCCGTTGAGTCAGTTCTGACTTATAGCGACCCTACATAGAGTTTCTGAGGAGTGGCCGATGAGCTTGAACATCTGACCTTACGGTTCGAACTGACTTTGCATCCAGCGATTATAAGCCACAGCGCCACACCATATGTATACACACACACACATATATATTTATACATACACGTGTATATATACATATATAAGGAGCTCTGGTAGCGTAGTGGTTAAGAATTGGGCTGCTAATCTCACGGTCAGCAGTTTAAAACTACCAGTTGTTCCACGGGAGAAAGATGAGGCTTTCTGCTCCCGTAAAGATTTACAGCCTCGGAAACCCTGTACAGGGTCGCTATGAGTCGGAACTGACTCCACGGCACATAACAACAACAACAACAACATATACATATATACACACATACATACACAAACATATACATGCACACACAAACACACACATAGATGTATGCATGCAAATGCACACATGTATACACACATATATGTACATGCATATACACATGCATATATACACGTATAAACATATAAGCATAAACATGCATACGCGTATAGATATATACATATGCACATGTGTGTATACACCTACACATATATACATACAATTACGGATTCATATATATGCAAACATATATACGTAAACATAAAAATGCATATAGGTGTATACATACATATGCACCTGCGTGTATACACATATACATGTACTTACACACATATATAATGCATATACACACATAAATACATATATACACACATACGTATATACACTACATATATACACACATACATGTGCACATATATATAGATACACACACACACGTGTATACAAGTCAATTCCAACACATGATGACTCCTTGGGTGTCACAGAACTCTGAGATCTCTTTTCCCGCAGAGTCGCTGGGTAGGTTCAAACTATCGACCTTCCAGTTAGCCGCTGAGCATTTAACCATTGCACGTTCTAGGATCAGCTAAAGCAAAATGTTGGGGAACTCGAACCAAGTGGAATGTGACATTCTCTGTCTCCTGCAGGTTGGCAAATTGTCTCATCACTGAGAACGACTGTGAAATCATCACCTCAGTGCTAAAAGTCAACAAGAAACTGAAGTTCCTTAATCTAGCACACAATTACCTGAACCGAGGAATGGGCATGCTATGTGAGGCTCTGTGCCACTCAGATTGTGTGCTGGAGGCCCTGGTGTAAGTGGTAGCGGGAAGGCCTGTTGTGGGAACACATGGCAGCCGGCTGAGCTGACTCAGATCCGTCCACTGTGGAGGCAACAGAACATGGATTTTCAGAGTTAGCCAGAGTAGAGTTCCAGTCCTGGGTTTGCCTCCTGAGCTAGTGCCCTAACTTCTCTCAACTTCACTTTGCTCATAATGGAGGGAAGAAGGAAATGCTGCCCTAGAAATCTTATGAAAATCACAAGTGTGTATACAGGGTCACTATGAGTCGCAACCAACTGGACGGTGCTTAACAACATACAGAGCCCATAGTAAATTTCAAGACGTTAGATTGGATTAAAGTGTCTACAATACGTAGTTGCTTCTTGTGTCGACAACTGTTGTTGAGTCGGAACCAATTCAATGGTACTGAACAACAATATATGTGAATATATTTTACGTCTGATAATAGCACAAAAGCCAGGAGAGGAGATATGGAAACATACACACTTAAGGTTCTTATGGCATGGCATGTAGGATCAGCACAGGGCTACTAACCACAAGGTCATCAGGTCAAGTCCACCAATCCCACCTTGGAAGCCCTTTCCAGGGTTGTTATGAGTTGAACCCGACTCCAAGGCATGCAACACCAGCCAGGTTTTTACATGTGCAATGTCATGATGTCACTTGAAGATAGGCTGTTATTGTTGTTAGATGTGTCAGGCTGGTTCTGATCCCTAACAACCCCATGCACAACAGAACGAAACCCTGCCCAGTCCTGCACCACCTCACAATCGTTGCTATGTTTGAGCCCATTGCTGCTGCCACTGTGCCAATCCATCTTATTGAGGGTTGCCCTCTTTTTTCACTGGCCCTCCACTTTACCAAGTATGATGTCCTTCTCCAGGGACTGGTCCCTCCTGAGAACAAATAAAAAATACGAGATAAAGTCTCACCATCCTGGCTTCTGTAGATCATTCTGGCTGCATTTCTTCCAAGACAGATTGGTTTGTTCTTCTGGCAGTCTTTGGTTCTTTTAATATTCTTCACCAACACCAAAACTCAAATGCATCAATTCTTCTAAGGTCTTCCTTATTCATTGTCCAACTTTCACATGTATATAAGGCTAGTGAAAATACCATGGCTTGGATCAGGCACACCTTAGTCCTGAAAGTGACATCTTTGCACTTGAACACTTTAAAGAGGTCTTGTGCAGCAGATTTGCCTAATGTGATACATCATTTGATGTCTTGACTGCTCCTTCCATGAGTGTTGATGGTGGATCTGAGCAAAATGAAATTTTTGGCAGCTTCAATATTTTCTCCATGTATCCTGATGTTATTTACAGGTCCACTTGTGAAAATTTTTGTTTTCTTTACAGTGAGGTGCAGTCCTCATCGTAAAGAATATAAAACTGAAAGCTGTAGCAAGTATTGAAGCCCTCTTCCATAAGTTGCTCTTCTGTTACAGAGTTTATTTTTGTGTTGTTAAGTACTGTTGAGTCAATTCTGACTCACAGTGATCCCATATAAGGTTTCCAAGGAGTGGCTGATAGGTTTGAACTGCCGACCTTGCAGTTAGCAGCTCATGGCTTATCCTACAGGTCCACCCCAGGACTTCACAAAGCATCCATTAAAACAGTGAAACGCAGAGTTATAACTAATAGGCCCATAAAAGTTAACATGGAATCATACGAAATTCTCAACACAAAAGAAGATCGAAAAAGTACAATTGAACCAAAAAAGGAATGAGTACAAACAGAAAGCAAATGGCAGCCTGGGAGACTTAATCCTAACCACGTCAGGAATCACACTGAGTGCTCAAAAGTCAGAGATTGTCAAGTTGCAGAAAAAAGCAAGATCCAACTATATGGTACTTGGTACATTGGACCACTTACCACCACCCTTCTAGCTATGGCCTTGTGTTGTTGTTACGTGCCATCAAATCAGTTCCGACTCATGGTGACCCTGTGTAGAGTTTCTGAGGAGCAGCTGGTGAGCTTGAACCGCTGACCTTGCAGTTCAAATGGCTTTGCAGTCTAGTGCATTAACCCACGGCACCACACCAGTAGCTCCCTCCAAATGACTGGGTGGGGGGATTATGCAAATAAGGTGCTCTTGGCTCTCCAAGGGGATTGTACAGTTTGCTAATAATACAAAGAAGGTGCATTCTTTGACATTCTTGTTAGGTGTTTGTTGTTAAGTGCTGTTGAGTCAGTTCTGACCCATAGCAATCCTGCATAGGGTTTCCGAGAAGCAACGGGTGAGCTTGAACCGCTGACCTTGCAGTTCAGATGGCTTTGCAGTCTGGCGCAGTAACCCACAGCGCCACACCAGGACTACATCTTGTTGGGTGGAGCCATGAAAATAAGATGTATGGAACACTAATGAGGGGATTGGTCTGTCTTACCATCCGGCTCAGCTAACAGTAAGCTATCCCAAAGGCAGAGAAACGGAGACCTCACTCCAACCAAGTAAGTAAGCTATCCCAAAGACAGTGAAAGGGAGACTTCACTCCAATCAAGAAAGTAAGCTATCCCAAAGGCAGCAAAAGGGTAACCTCACTCTAACCAAGTAAGTAAGCTATCCCACAGGCAGAGACAGGGTGACCTCACTCCAAGTAAGTAAGCTATCCCAAAGACAGTGAAAGGGAGACTTCACTCCAACCAAGTAAGTAAGCTATCCCAAAGGCAGAGAAAGGGTGACCTTGTCCCAATCAAGAAAGTAAGCTATCCCAAAGTCAGAGAAATGGCAACCTCACTCCAACCAAGTAAGAAAGCTATCCCAAAGACAGTGAAAGGGAGACCTCACTCCAACCAAATAAGTAAGCTATCCCAAAGACAGTGAAAGGGAGACTTCACTCCAACCAAGTAAGTAAGCTATCCCAAAGACTGTGAAAGGGAAACCTCGCTCCAATCAAGAAAGAGTCAGGAAAGCAGTGCAGTCTTCAGACCCTGGGGCGCTGCACTAAGAGCCCTGACCTCAGACAGACAAAGGGAGCTGTAACAGAGAAGGAGCAGAGAAATGGCATCTCCAGAACCAGGAGACCAACAGCAGGTGGTGCAGTGGGCTCACCATCCCATGAAGCTAGAGAGCTGAATGCCTTCTGGCAAGGGGCTTCCTGGTAGAGTGAGGGGACTCCAGGCATTGGGTGAAGCTAGGCTCCTGGACTCAATAAGAGAACTGAGCGCCTTCAAGCAAGAGGCTTGCTGGCGGAGTGCGGTTCCCTGGGCACTTATCAGTGGAGTTTGGGTTTGGCAACGCTTTCCTGAGCAGGTTAGGGAGGAGCACGGGCCAAGCTTGCCTGTGGACACAGCTAAGAAAGAATGATATCCTGAGTCGTTTCTCATCCTGAATTGTACTCCCCTAACGGAGTCCTGGGGATTCTTGGTGTGGCGATGTGGGTTAATGCGCCAGACTGCAAAGTTGTTTGAACTGCAAGGTCGGTGGTTCAAGCTCACCAGCTGCTCCTTGGAAACCTTATGGGTCGGAATCGACTCGACGGCACTTAACAACAACAACAATGGAGTTCTGGTGTGGCACTGTAGGAAAAAGCACTGCACTGCTAACCAAAACGTTGGTGGATCAAACCCACCAGCCGCTCCTTGGAAATGAGACAGAACTGACTCGTTGGCACTTACCAACAGCCCAAAACTTCCCTGGTAAGCCCTTTAGTCCTGAGTTCTATGTGGTGAAGCCCCGCAGAGAGGCAGAGAGCTTGCTGTGGGAGCCGGTGAGAAGGTTGACAAGAGAAAGGTGTGTGTGTGAGGTGTCTTCTTCCTTTTCCCTCCTTGTCTCACACACGTTTGTTCTCACAGGTTAGTTGGCTGCTACCTCAGTGAACCCTACTGGGAGGACATCTGTGACGTTCTTGTGTGCAGTACATGCCTGGTCCATCTCGATCTTGGTGCAAATGTCCTGAAAGGCCATCATTTGGAGCTCCTGTGTGAAGCCTTAAGACACCCAAACTGCTGCCTGCAGTCTATTTGGTAGGTCTTCTTTGAAAACCGAGCCTCCTTTTCAAGGGTTTCGGTTGCTGAGAAACCACTTTTGCCTGATGAATTCTGCACTGTCTGTGATACGATAAGCACTGGACTGCAAACCACAGGGTCCATGGTTCGAGCCCACCAGCCGCTCCGCAGGGAAAAGACAAGGCTTTCTGCTTCCACAAAGATCTAAAGCCTCAGAAACCCTATGCAAGGTTGCTATGAGTTGGAACTGACTCGACGGCACGTAACAACAACAACAAACAATGTGTGTACCTTAGAATATGGAAATTTAAAAATGCTTCACTTACGTTCTTGTAGAGGTATTCCGGCTAGCAAACTTGTGCCTTGACTTTAGTTACACAGATTTACTATGTTGTGTAAGGGGCCCTGGTAGCTCAACAGTCTAGCAACAGAAAAATCGGTGGTTCCAACCCACCCAGTGACATGCAGAAAGTCCTGGTGAGCTGCTTCCATAAAGATGACAGCCTAGAAGAGCCTGTGGGGCAGCTCTGTCACGTGCCATCAATTAGCCAGAATTAACAACAGCAACAACAACCATCAGGAAATACGAATCCCAAGAAACAGACATGATGGATTGGTCAAAGAGCTGAGGAGATAGGAGGAAAGCGGTCCATGAGATGAACTAACAGAATAGCTAGACTGAAGATTCCTCTTCCCTTCCCCTTCCGTTATTGCAAAACTAGGATGCCCGCGTTGTTAAGTGCTGCTGAGTTGATTCAGACTCATGTCGACCCTGTATGTAGCGGCAGGCTAGGACGTATGCTGTGTGTCAGGAGATCACGAGATACCCTCCGGTGCGTAATGATGCTGACTTCATCATCATCATCAAACTTTACCCATGCGTCATCTTTCCTTTGTGTTAGCCCTGCTTGCCGGTCATGGCATTCAGGTATTGAACCCATCTCATGAAGTTTCCTGGGGTATGGTTGTTGGTAGGTACCAGCAAGTGGGTTCCCACTCATAGCGACCCTATAACCAACAGAACGAAACACCGCCTAGTCCTGTTACCCGCCTCATAATTTGTGTCTGAGCTCATTAATGCCGCCACTGTATCAGCTCATCTCATTAGGGGTCTTTCTCTTTTTCACTGACCCTCTACTCTGCCAAGCATGATGTCCGTTTGCGTGGACTGTCTAAAGTATGTAAGATGAAGTCTCACTGTCCTCCCTTCTAAGAAATGTTCTGGCTGTACATGTTTGTCCTTTTGGTTGTCCATGATATTTTCATATACTTCACCAACCCCCAAATTCATAGGCACTGATTCTTGTAAGGTCTTCCTTATTCACTGTCCAGCTTTTGCATGCATATGAGGTGATTGAAAATACCGTGGCTTGGAGCAGGCGCACCTTAGTCTTGAAAGTGACATCTTGGCTCTTGAACACATTAACGAGCTCTTTGCAGCAGGTCTGCCTATTTTTGCAATACATCATTTGATCTTTTGACTGTGGCTTCCCTTCATGTTGACTGTGGATCCAAGTAAAATGAAGTTTTTCCATATTTTATTTTTAAAAGAAAACTTCCATATTTTTTCCATGTATCCTGATGAGAACTCTGGTAGAGTAGTGGTTACAAATCGGACTGCGAACCGCAAGGTCAGCAGTTTGAAACTACCAGTGGTTCTGCTGGAGAAAGATGAGGCGTTCTGCTCCTGTAAAGATTTACAGCCTCGGAAACCTTGTGCAGGGTCAGTATGAGTTGGAACCGACTCCATGGTACTTAACAACAACAACAATCCTGATGTTATTTGTGGGTCCAGTAGTGAAGATTACTGTTTTGGGTTAAAGAATTCTGCCTAATCTTGTATGTCTGTGGATTTCTTGGAGAAAGATATTTGATAATGAAATGCTACCCCAATTGGCAATTTTTTAAAAATTCAAATATTTCTCGAATATTCACAACGCTAAATGGAACCAGCTCATCATCTCTCCTTCTCGTTACTCGCTCATCCCCGCCCGCTTGTTCCTTTCGGAAGTGTCTGGTTTTTCCATGTTGATTCCCACATAGATCTTAGGTTCTCTTCTCCCCCTTGGTTTAGCCTTCTCCCTGGAGTCTCAATTCTCTCTATCCACCTGGTGAAAGTTAGTCATGTCCTATAACATATGAAGAACATCATATTATTCGTAAAACCCTCCCTTGGTCCCAAGCTATAAAAACTGCTCCTTTTCTCCTTTGTTGTTGTTAAGTGCCGTAGAGTTGGTTCCAACTCACAGCGCCCCTGTGGAGGGTTTCTGAGGAGCGGCTGGTGAGTTTGAACCACTGACCTTGTGGTCCAGTGCTTTCCCCATAGCTCCACACCAGGGTTTTTGTTTGAGCTCATACCCAACTTAACTAGATGGCCGTTTTGTGTTTGTTAGTTGCCCTTGAGTTGGCTCCGACCAATGGTGACCTCTCATACAGCAGAATGAAAGGCGCCTGGTCCCCGCCCCCCTTCCTGATCACTGACATGTTTGCGCCCAGTGGTGGAGTGGTACCCTCCTTTCTAGGTCCTTTTTGGGTGATTGCTTTTTTCTCATGATGTTTGTTGTTACTGTTGTTATGTGCCATCAAGACAGTCCCAACCAGTAGCGACAGCGTGTGACCAATTAGAACTGTCCCATATTGTCTTCTAGGCCGTCAGCTTTATGGAAGCAGGACACTTAGTGGTGGTGGTAGTGTGACGTGGAGTCGGTTCTGACCCATAGAGACCCTGTTTAGGGTTTCTGAGGCTGTAAATCTTTATGGGAGCAGAAAGCCTCATCTTTCTCCCACGGAACAGCTGGTAGTTTTGAACTGGTGACCTTGAGGTTAGCAGCCTGACTTGTAACCACTACGCTACCAGAGCTCCTACAGCACAACTAGGTGGGTTCAAATGGCCAGTGTCTAGGAGTTCTGGTGGACGTTGTGGGTTAATGTGCTGGATTGCAAAGTTGGTTTGAACCACAAGGTTGGTGGTTCGAGCGCACCAGGTGTTCCTTGGGAACCCTATACAGGGTCACTGTGGGTCGAACTCAATGGCACTTAACAACAACAAGATTCAAACTCACCAGCAGCTCCTGGGAAACCCTACATAGGACCGCTGTAAGTCGGAACTGACTCGATGGCACCTAACAACAACAACAACAACAAGGTTCAAACTCACCAGCAGCTCCTGGTGACAGCCCTACATAGGGCCGCTGTAAGTTGGTTACTTGTCAAGTTGCAAACCCTTTGCACCACCCGGGGACCTAGTCTTTCTCTAACATCCTACAAAAATGTAGTGAACCCTTCGGAGTGATGCCGTCTCTGTTCTGTTGCAGCTTGGTGAGGTGCTTCATCACGGCTGAGGACTGTCCAAACGTTGCCTCAGTCCTCACCAGCAATCCAAACCTGCACAACCTGGAAATTGGGGACAATGACTTGGAAGACAGGGGCGTGAAGGTGCTGTGTGAAGCTCTGATCCATCCCAGCTGTCACTTAGAGAGTCTTGGGTGGGTATCCTCCAGGGTCTGGGGGAGTCTTTGGGGTGGTAGAAGGTGGAGAGGGTGGATGGGCAGAAAGAGAAATGACAACTGTCAGGGACACACGTCAGCCACCTCCCCAGATAACCCCAGAATGGTGGGGCCTAACCCAATGGAATCCAATCTGATTTATGCTGACTGCAAGTCTGTCGGAGGAAAGCTGTGCTCTGTAGGGTTTTTCAGTCGCCATTCCCACCACCCAGGGATTCCTTGCTGCATAACAATGCATGCTGAAACTGTTCCCCATTGCAGTCCAGTGGGTGCCAACTGACAGCAACATCCCATGACTGGGTCCAAACCCCCCCCGAGGGACTCCTAGGCTAATTTTTATGGAAGCAGGCTGCCATGTCTTTCTCCTGCAGAGCTGCTGGTGGGTTTGAACCGTTAACCTTTCGATAATCAGACAAGTACTTTACCACTGCACCAGCAGAGCGCCTTCTCTAGAACTTAGACTCTTAAAAAGGATGAGCTCTTCTCATTGTGGGCGGACTCTGCTGGTCGTGACTGGGCATGCTCAGGAATCTGAGGCTCTGGAGGGGACTTTACTGACCTCGGTTGTCCTTCCTGTCAGGTCTGGCTGTGGGCTGGCTAGAGGTCCACTGAGGATGGAGGAGGGTGGCAGGAATGCATGGTTCTCATCCGAGGCTTGGACTTGGTGATGTGGTACCTCAGAGGTTTAAAAGAGCATCACATATAGGATGCTGGGATATGCATGGCGGGCACTATAATCATTGAAATAACAAGTGTACAAGGTGCTCTGAGGCATAGACTCAAAAAGCACATCAAGTTGTGTCCACAGTGTTATATTAGCCAAAGCAAGTTCATTCACAAATCCCTTGGTGTTGAGTGGATTCTGCAGGTCAGAGTAGAGCTACCCTATTGGGTTTCCCAGGCTGGCATCTTTATGGAAGCAGACTGCTGCATCTGGGTTCAAACCACCAACCTTCAGTTAGCAGCTGAGTGCTTAACCACTGTGCCACCAGGGCCCCTCCTAACTCATTCAACCAAAAGTACCCCACTGTTACCGAGCCCGTTCTGACCCACAGCAACCCCACAATCCAAGGCTGTAAATCTCTATGGCAGTGACTGCCGTAACATTCAGTTGCAGAGTGCCTGGTGGGTTCAAACTGCTGAACTTTCTGTTCGCAGCTGAGTGCTTTACCCACTGCACAACCAGGATGCCTAAGTTGAAGGGTGGGGGAAATACTCTCTTCGTGGGGTGGAAATACTCTCAGTGGCATCTCATTGCAGACAGCGTGGGTGTCGAAAGGAATGGGCAGTTGTGGACAATTTAAAATCTACCACAGGGCAGTATGTTGACATCCGATGCTAGACTCTAATATACAGTATGTTGACATCCGATGCTAGAATCTAATGTAACAGACGTCTGGGTACTACAAGTGGCTTCCAGTCAACTGATAACCTAAAGGTTGGTAGTTTAAACCCACCCAGCAGATCTGCAGTTTGCTGCACGGTCTGCTGATCTGTGTGCCATAAAGGTTATAAACCAAGAAAGTCGCGATGAGTCAGGATTCAACTCGGTGGCAGCTAACAACAGTGTGTGAATGACATGGTACTCGGAAGGTATGGGATGATCTTTCACAAATGTCTGCCTCACACTCTGCTCTTCTAAAGAACTGTCTATCGGATCAAAGTGACAACCGCAAGTCACAAGGTCCGATAGGAAACTTAGGAGGCAGTGAGTTCTGTTCATGGAGGAGGGACAATTTGGGAAAAGGGGGGTGAGAATGGGTCCCCCAACTTGCAGAATGTCATCCATGCCATGTACTTGGACATGCAGAAGTTGTTGAATGGACATTTGTTCTTGCTGGGCGTCTTAACAACAACAAAAGGAAAATAGAGCTTTTCAATGTCTAATGTCTGCCTCAGGTTCTACCCCTGCCTCCTCTTTCACCCTGAGTGTCTTAGGCTGGGTTTTCTGGAGAATCATAACCAGTGAAACTTACATATGTATATATTTGTTGTTGTTAAATGCTGTTAAGTCGGTTCTGACCCATAGCCACCCTGTACAGGGTTTCTGAGGAGCAGCTGGTGAGCTTGAACTGGTGACCTCGTGGTTCAAACTGACTTTGCAGTCCAATGCATTATCCCACAATGCCACACCAGGACTCCGTATATGTAGATGTGTGTATGTGTGTGTGTGTGTATCAAGAGAAGTCTATATCAAGGAAATAGCTCACAATTGTAGAGTCCCCGGACCCCAGCGGAGAGACAGCAAGCTTTTCCCGTGGGCTGTCATATTGGGAGCAGGCCACACCCCCATTTAATTGATTGGCTGCTCATAGCCAAGCACCCTAGATTTCACCACGGGAATAAGCTGTATTACATTTCACCACGGGAATAAGCCCATCTCCACTGCCACAGTACTGGGAATCCTTGCCCAGTTAAGTTGGCACAAAACCCTATCACCGTGAAGGGGTACCCGCTCTACTGTGTGTGTGTGTGTGTGTGTGTGTGTATGTGTGGGGTACCCACTCCACCGTGTGTACTATTTCTGCAGATTGGACGTGTGTGTGTGTGTGTGTGTACCTGCTCCACCGTGTGTGCTGTTCCTACAGATTGGATATGTGTCTGTGTGTGGGGTACCTGCTCTCACCGTGTGTGTGTGTATGTGTGGGGTACCCACTCTCACAGTGTGTACTATTCCTGCAGATTGGATATGTGTCTGTGTGTGGGGTACCTGCTCTCACCATGTGTGTGTGTATGTGTGGGGTACCCGCTCCACCGTGTGTGTGTGTATGTGTGGGGTACCCACTCTCACAGTGTGTACTATTCCTGCAGATTGGATGTGTGTGTATGTGTGGGGTACCCGCTCCACCGTGTGTGTGTGTGTATGTGTGGGGTACCCACTCTCACAGTGTGTACTATTCCTACAGATTGGATATGTGTCTGTGTGTGGGGTACATGCTCTCACCGTGTGTGTTGTTCCTGCAGATTGGACGTGTGTCAGCTGACTAGTGCCTGCTGTGAGGACCTGGCCTCTGTGCTCACCAGCAGTAAAACTCTGAAGAGACTAAACCTGATTGGAAATAACTTTGATCATGACGCGGTGGTGGTGCTGTGTGACGCCTTGAGACACCCTGAGTGCACCCTGTGCGTGCTTGGGTGAGCTGCTTCCTGTTGTCTTCCTTGGTGGGGAGGGCCTTCTGGGTCAAGAAGGGACCAATGGGCTCCAGAAATGTATAACATATGCAGTGCAATCCCATTATGTTTGAAGTTGGGATAATGTTTTCTGTCCCAGCGTCACTGTAGGAATGAAAGAGAGTGAGACCCAGCCAGTGGCAGTGCTCACTAGTCAAGTGTTTGTTATAATGAGGGGCCCTGGAGGCACACCAGTTAAAACTCAGGCCACTCATGAAAGATAGTTCAAGTCCAACTAGCTGCTCCTCTAAAGATCCCAGCCTAGGAAACCCCTTGGGGCAGTTCTACCTCGTCACATGTGGTCACTGTGAGTTGGAATGGATTCATGGCACCTAACAAGAAGATGAGGCGTTCTGCTCCCGTAATGATTTACAGCCTCGGAAACCCTATGCAGGGTCACTGTGAGTCGGAACCGAATTCACAGTACTTAACAACAACAACAACACTTACAATGCAAGTTATAATGACAGTATGAGCCATATGTGTTTGCATTATGATTATAGATTATATTTATGGAACTGTTTTGTTTGGTGTCCTAGTGTGGCGCTGCAGGATAATGCACTGGACTGCAAGGTTGGGTTGAACTGCTCCTCGGAACGCTATACATGGTCGCAATGAGTCGGAGCCGACTCAACAGCATGTAACAACACACAACGAAACAATCCTTCACGTTTCCTTTCTCCATTCATTTCCCCTCTGCCCTCGGCACTCAAATAAGAATAAATTTCTACTATTTTATCTTTTATAAAAAATAAAAGCAGCGTCAGTCTTTTCTCCATAGCTTCTTCCACTGAGCTCTTCACCCAAACCCTGATGTTTATGTGCGACACCAGTGCTTTCTATAGTAATAGAAACTCACTGCCACCAACTGAATTCTGACAGATAGCGACCTGTACAGGGCTTCTGTAAATGTTGATGAGAGCAGACTGTCTTCTCTTTCTCCTGAGGAGACGGCTGGTGGCTTGGAACTGCTGACCTTGTGGTTAGCAGCTCAACGCTTAGAGCATTGATTTTGTCTGGCTGGATGCTGGCATGAGTCATTTATCCATGCCACTTCCTGACTCTATGCTTAAAAACCACCACACAAATTGCCATGAACCCTATTCCGATTTATGTAGTGAGTCTACGGGCAGAGTACAACTACCCCGTGGGGTTTCTAAGACTGGATTCTTTACACAAGCAGTCAACCTTACCTTTCAGCTATCAAACCACCAGCCTTTCAGTTCTCAGCCAAGTGCTTTAACCACTGTGCCACCAGAGCGACTTGCACTATGTTTTCTAAGTGCCGTTAAGTCGGTTTGGACTCATAGCGGCCCTGTAGGGTTTGAACCTCCCACCTTGCAGTGCCATGTTTATCCTAGAGCACCACACTAGGACTCCTTACGCTATAGTTTTGGTTGTGTTGTTAAGTGCCATCGAGTTGGTTCTGATCCAGAGCGTCCCTCTATAGGGTTTCCGAGGGATTGAATTGGTGGCCTGGAGTTGATGACCATGTTTGGATAATTTACACCACAGAAATGGGCAAATGTTACAAATCGGAGTCCTGGTGGTGTAACGGGGCAAGCATTGGGCTGCTAGCAGAAAGATCGGCAGTTCTAGTCCACCAGCTGCTCTGAGTGACAGGTGGTGGCAGTCAGCGTCCTCACAGATCTGCCGCCCCAGTGGCCGGCTGAAGGAGCTCTCCTCCCCTCTGTCCTTTGAACAGCGTCGACTTGACCTCAGTGGGACTGCTGCTTTCTTCTCCCCATCCCTCCTCTTCCTCTCTTCCTGCTGCAGTTCCAGAAGTTCCACAAGTGGATGGCCCTGCTCTTGTAGCAGCTGCTATTGTTATTATGTGCCATTGAGTCGGTTCCAACTCACAGCAACCCTGTGCACAACAGAACGAAAGACTGTGCCATCCTCACAATGCCACCTCTTGGAGAGACTGGTCCCTCCTGACAACAGGTCCAGAGCATGAGAGACAAAGCCTCACCATCCTGGCTTCTAAAGAGCACTCTGGCTGTGCTTCTTCCAACACAGATTGGTTTGTTTTTCTGGAAATCCATGGCACTTTCAGTATTCTCCTCCAACACCATAACTCTAATGCATCAATTCTTCTATGGTCTTCCTTATTCACTGTCCATCTTTCACATGCATATGAGGTTATTGAAAATGCCATGACTTGGATCCGGTGCACCTTAGTCCTCAAACTTACATCTTTGCTCTTGAACACTGTAAAGAGGTCTTTTGTAACACTTTCTCCTAGTGCAATACATCGTTTGATTTCTTGACTGCTGCTTCCATGAGTGTTGATGGTTGATCTGAGCAAAATGAAGTCTTTGACAACTTAAATCTTTTCTCTATTTATCACGATATTATTGATTGCTTCGGTGGTGAGGATTTTTGTTTTCATTTACATTGAGGTGCAACCCATACGGAGGGCTGTGGTCTTTGATTTTCATCAGTAAGTATTGTAAGGCCTCTTCATTTTCAGCAGGCAAGGTTGTATCATTTGTATATCGCAAGTTGTTAATGAGTCTTTGTTTAATCCTGAGGCCACATTCTTCTACATATAATCTAATTTTTTGGATTATTTGCTCAGCATACAGACTGGATACATATGGGGCAAGGAGCACACCTTTCCTGATTTTAAACCATTCAGTGTCCCCTTGTTCTGTTCTAACAACTGCTTCTTGGTCTCTCACGAGCGCACTTGATATTCTGGAATACTCATTCTTCACAATGTTATCAATAGTTTCTCATGATCTACACAGTCTAAACCCTTTGTGTAGCCAATAAAGTACAAGTAAACAATCTTTCTGGTATTCTCTGCTTTCAGCCAAGATCCATCTGACGTCAGCAATGATAGTCCTAGTTCCACATGCTCTTCTGAATCCGAGTTGAGTTTTTTGGCAGTTCCCTTGTCAATATACTGTTGCAGCTGTTTTTAAATTATCTTCAGCAAAATTTTACTTGCATGTGTTATTAGTGAAATTGTTCAGTAATTTCCACATTCTCTTGAGTCATCTTCCTTTGGAATGGGCACAAATATGGATCTCTTCCAATTGGTCAGGTAGCTGTCTTCCAAATTTCTTGACATAGATGATGTGGCTCTAGTGCTACATAGTTTATTGAAAGTTTTCTATTTGTATTCCATCAAATCCTAGAGCCTTGTTTTTCGCTAATACTTTCAGTGCAGTTTGGACTTCTTTCTTCAGTACCATCAGTTCTTGATCATATGCTATCTCTTAAAACGGCTGAGCATAGACCATTTCTTTTGGTACAGTGACTCTGTGTATTCCTTCCATCTTCTTTTGATACTTTCTGCATCATTCAATATTTTGCCCAGAGAATCCTTCAACATTGCAAGTCAAGGCTTGAATTTTTTCTTCAGTTCTTTCAGCTTGAAAAATACTTAGTGTGGTCTTTCCTTTTGGTTTTCTAACTCTTGTCTTGGCACATTTCATTACAATACTTTGCTTTTTTTCTTATGGTAAAGAAAATTGCCCTTTGAAATTTTCTATTCAATTCTTTACCTCCTCATTTCTTCCATGTGTTTTACCTCTCTATGCTCGAGAGCAGGTTCCAGACTCTCTTCTGACATCCATTTTGGTCTTTGCTTTCTCTCCAGTCTTTTTAGTGACAGTTTGCTTTCTTCCTGTATGATGTTCTTAGTTTCAACCATGACTCTCTGTTCTCCGGTCATTAGTGTCTAATGCGTGAAGTCTGTTTTTGAGATGGACTTCAAATTCAGGTGGAATTTCGAGGTTATATTCTGGCTCTCAGCCTGAATGTGCATATGAGTAATTGATGGTCTGCTCTGGCCTTGTTTTGGCTGATGATATTGAGCTCTTTCACCGTCTCTTCCCACAGATGTTGTCAGTTTGATTCCTGAGTATTCCATCTGGTGAGGTCCATGTGTATAGCTGCCTTTTTTTTTTTTTTTTTTTAATATATTTGCAATTAATAAGTCATTGTTGTTGTTGTCATTAGGTGCCATCGAGTCGGTACCGACCCATAGCACAGCAGAACGAAACACTACCCACTCCTGGGCCAACCTCACTATTGTTACCACGCTTGAGTCCATCGATGCTGCCACTTGGCCAATCCATGTCATTGGGGGTCTTCCTCTTTTCCTATGACCCTCCACCTTAGCAAACATGATATTCTTCTTCAGCGACTGCTCCCTCATGACAATATGTCCAAAGTATGAGAGACGAAGTTTGGCCAACTTGGCCTCAAAGTCATTGGTCTTACAAAAGTCATTGGTCTTAAAAAATTCTGTCATGACATCTCCAGCATCATTTCTATAAACAAAGCGATATTTTCTAATTTGATCCTTCCTCTTTGGTTTCCAACTTTTGCAATCCAATTTCAGACTGACAACATTGGAAGAATTCTTCAATTTCATCATCACTGACTTTAAGGTTGGGGCTTAAATTTGAGTAACAGTGGACTTCCTTGTAGGTATATGGATATTATCTTATCACAGACCGCATTATATTTCAGGATCCATCTGAAACTCCTTTTTGACGGTGAATGTGATGCCATTTCTCAATTTGTCCTTCCCAGCCTAGTGAACTAGATGATTCTCTGATTCAGAATGGCCAGTTCCAGGCCACTTCAGCTCACGAATGCCTATGTGGTCCATTTCATTTTTGACAACTTCCAATTTTTCTAGAACCATACTTTGGACATTGCATATTCTGCTTGTCAATGGATGCTGCCGCTCTTTCTCCTCATGGTAAACTCGACTTTGATCAGGCAGCTCTTCCCCAGTCATATTTCGAGTCCCTTCCAACCTTCAGGGGCTCATCTTTCGTCACTATTGCTGACAATATTCTGGTGCTATTCAGATTGTTTTCGTCTTCTGGCACTATATCTGATAATGGTCTCTGATGTCTCCCTTCTCCTCCTCTTCCCCTCTCTTCTATTCCTCCTCCTTCTCTAGAGCCAGATGTGAAATCCTCATCAGCACACTTCTACACGTGACAGACACAAGGGGGCTTCAACAAGTTCATGGAGAAGTTCCATTCGCTTTTCATTCCATTTCCCCAGGAGCTTTTGGACACCCTCCTCATATCTCTTGCCCCTTAGAGGTAACACTATCATCTCTTAGACTTTCCCAGGGAAGAAATTATATAAAAAGATGGCATAAAGATCATATATTTTTTCCAACAAAAAACAGATCCATCTTTATATTATACAGGTTGGACAAAGATGAATTTGGTGAAGAAACCCAGAGACTTCTGGTAGATGTGGAAGAGAGCGTCCCCTCCTTGACAATCATGGAGTACTACTGAGGTAGAGGCAGAACCACAGGAGTCCGGACCACAACGCAAGCAGTGTGGATACATCCTGACTCCCGAGCACTCACACAGGACAGGACTTGAGACCCTCCCCTGTACCTACTTAGCACCAAGAATTACAAACCCCTACACTGATGTGGGCTGCAATTTTTCTGGCACCCCCTTCAGATGTGTTTCATATCATGTACGTTTATGCATGCCATTAAAATGCCATCTTGGGGGATTTTCTGTTCTGTCTCACAATAGGATTTTAAGTACCCAATAAAGTCATAATTTTGAACACGCTGAAAAAGCTTGGTGCAGGCTTGGTTCCCAGAGGGAGAGTGCAGATTGAAGGAGCTGGGGTCTTTCTCTGCATTGATTCAGAAAGATGCTGGACACGCTAGAAATGTAGGTGCGAGGTGATGTCCTCACTCCTTCTTTCTGTTTGTCCTTCTCATGTTCTAACTCAAGCTAGCTCTCTTCTCTTGACCAATGAAAACTGAAAAAACAAGCCCACTGGCATCAAAAGTCCATTCTGATTCACAGTGAGCCTAGAGGACAGTGCAGAGCTGCCCCTGTGTGCCAGGAGCAGACAGCTTCATCCTTCTCCTGCTGAGTTGTTGGTAGGTTTGAACCCCTAACCTTGCAGTTAGCAGCCCAATGTATACGTAGCCCTCAGGACCACCAGGGTGCCTTTGGCTACTGAAAGTACTTCAGAAGCACATTTTTAAATCCAAGAGAGTTTAAAACACCCCTTCCTTCTCCCTAACAGTTCAGATAAAGGTGAAGATGCTCTTCACCATCAACTCTCATCAAAAACCCCTAAAGCAGCTGAATCATGAGTGAAGGTATAACTTTCCGTGTTGTTCCGATACTCCCACATACTTGAATGCAGTCATTGATACACATTGTCTCCTCCCTGACTCTAAATGGTCCCTGAGTAGGGCAAATGGTTGGTCCACCAATCATTAGCCAATCCTAATGTGGCACTGTAGGATAAGCACTGGACTGCAAACCTCAAGGTCAGTGGTTCAAACCCATCAGCCATTCTTCAGAAACCCTATACAGGATCACTGTGAGTCAGAACTGACTCCAAGGCACTTACTAACAGAAGTTCCGTGGCTCAAACATTCCCGGAAGTGCCGTGGAAGAAAGTTCTGGTAATCCATTTCCATAAAGATTACAGCTGAGAAAGCTGTATGGAGCATACTTGTACTCCAAAACACATGCTGTCACCGTGATTCAGAACCAGCTCAAAAGCAAGAGATGTGGGTTTTGGTTTGGTTTTCCATCCTGACCACATCTAAACCACACTTCTAAGATTGCAAGGCATAGTGGGAAAGAGGAAGAAGTAGAGTGTTTCACAAGGGGGTAGAAAGATAAAAGAAGGAAGAGAAGTGAGTGAAGTTGGAAAGCTGAACGATTCTGCTACTCATTCCTTATAGCTAGGCCGCTGTGCTAACACTGGTCAGCCGGGGACTGATAACCCAGAGTGAGTCTGGAGAAGACAGTCAGCGGGTGATAAATGTACCAAATTCCCCGCTGTTCCTTCTGCTCACCTTTGCTTTCCAGAAGAGGAGGGCCTGTTATTGACTAACCGAGTCCTGGATAACTCAGTGGTATTCACTCACACTGAAATAAGCTGTTAGTCTTCTAAGCTTAAGAGGCCCTGGTGACAGGCATGGGTGACACACTTGGTTGCTAAGTGAAAGGCTAGCAGCTAGAACATGCCAGTGGTCCCACAGTAAAGACCAGGTGAGTGGCTGTGGTAAAGATTCCAACTTTAGGAAACCCTATGACACAGTTCTTCCCTGCCACGGAAGGCCACGATGAATCAGAATCAATATCAAAGCCACAGCACCCACCACCACCATTCTCACGCTGCGATTTTAAAACAAGGACACATTTAGGGATGATCCGACTAACAGATCATTCCTAAGAACTGTGAAAATACCTTGGATTCGGCACTGGCTGGAGGACATTTCTGCTTTGCTTTTTAAGGAAACAATGGAGAGGTGCGGGGATGGTCTTACGTTGTTGTTAAGTGCCATCAAGTAGGTTCCAACTCAGATTGACCCTGCATAAGGTTTCTGAGGAGTGACTGGTGACCTTGAACTGCCGACCTTGTGGTTTAAACTGACCTTGTGGTCCAGTGCTTATCCTACAATGCTACACCAGGACTCCAGTCTTAGATTAAGGGTTAATAAATGGACATTTTGTCAAAGTATCAGAAATTATTCCATTTTAATAATTGATAACTTACACTGAGAGTTCCTACATTAACAAATAGTTAAGTACTCAACTACAAATCAATTTGAACCTACCCTGAAGCCCCTCAGGAAACAGACCTGGTGATCTGCTTCCAAAATACCACAGCCTTGAAACACCTGCGGAGCACTGTTCTACTTTGACAAATAGGGTTGCCATGAATTGGAATTGACTCAGTGGCACTTAACAATAACACAACTGTAAAATAGACACTTGAGTGGGATAGAAAGGAGTATCAGGAAACATGACTACAGAAAGCTTGTAAGCCCATCTTCAGCCTATAACTGATTGGAATACCTAAAAGGGGTTCTAGAACTTGTCTAGTGAAATAGGCTTCTTGTGGAGCCTTTGTAGAGTATAGGGTCTTAGGTGGGATCCTGAACTCCATCCAGAACCTTCTGAGGTGGGACATTCCCACTTGAAAGGACAAGTAGGCCAGCCTGGAGCAGCTAGAGGAATAGAGACACTTCTTAAAAGAAAGATCAGCAGAGGAAGACAAAAACAAAAAAGAAACCCCAGACTGTTTGGCTATTACAAGAACAAAGCAAGCTATTCACCTGGGAAGGACCAAGGCGAGCCATCAAGTCCCTTCAGGACAAACCCTCCTCCCAAGACTGAAACTCAAAGGGAACACATGAGTAGACTTGTAAGCTGGCTCGTAACCACGTCAGTCTACTCGTGAGTGGAAGTGGGGGAAGGTAGTAATGAAGACAGAGCCTGTGTTCAACCACATTCCATAGACTCCTGTCGACCCTGAGATGAGAGAGAGAAGATGGAGAGACTTGGGACCTCCTGGGCCCATGGACACTGACCTGCCCACGGCGGGCTGGAGCTGAGAGTGAAGTATCCAGCTGATATGAAGTGAGGGGGAGGCACGCAAGAATGCCCAAACTTGCAGGTAGTAGCCATTTGACCTTGCTTGGGTGACTTGATCAGAAATCGACTAGAGGAAGATAAAGAAATTTGATATGGGGACCAAGCATAGACTGCTACAATTTGATGAACTTGACCTTTACTTATGGATGTTGTAGCTCAAAATACCAATTGAGAGGGAAGGAGTCTTCACATCAAGGATCAATCCGATTCCCTCTGTATAGGGATGGGCAACTTAGACACTGGCTAACTAATGGTTACGAGTCGGGCTGTTATCCTCAAGGTCAGCAGTTCGAAACTAACAACCATTCTGTGGGAGTAAGATGAGGCTTTATGCTCCCATAAAGATTTACAGCCTCAGAAACGCTATGCAGGGTCACTATGTGTTGGAACCGACTCCATGGCACACCACCACCACCTAAAATGGGTGGGGAGGGGGCTGTAAAGGCACGGAGTGGCTGGCTTACAAATTTTCAAGAGGGAGTTTAGTTTCAGAGTGTGTGGTGGGAGGTAGAATCCCCACTGAATAGTTTGCATCTTGTCTAGACAGGTCTGGTGAAAGGAGATGGGGATAGAATTCTTTTGATTCAATAGTAATTGTAATCATGTCTAATTGCGACTGTCACAACTGTAAATGTAGATGTTTTGTAACAAAAATGGAGGAGTAGTTAATCTTACAGTCCAGAAACAGAAGACCCTAGGACCATCAAGGGAGAAGAGCATGAGTGGAACGTGGGACCCTATCCAGAGAAGCAGTGGCACCAGAGATGGAGGCAGAGATGGGGACATGGAGACAGGGAGCAGCTGAGGACTCTAGACTCATGGAAAGAGAGGCACTGAGAGCTGGCAGCCAGGAGGCAGGCTTGCAGAATGTGCCCTTTCATGGTTTAAACGATTATATATCCCTGTGTGTTTTTGTGTACAAAAAAAAAAGAGGGAATAGAGGCAAATACTGTTAACTGATGGCACATGGAGGGGATTATAATCATTGCAATGAAACAAAATACAGTTGGTTGAGTGCAAAACCGATATTCTGCCATGTAAACTATCACTCAATTTACAATAAAAGCTTTAAGAAAAAAATAAAAGGTATGTTGAAATCCTAACCCCCAGTACCTTAATCTGAAATAGGAACTTTGCCAATATAATTCGTTAGCATGAGGTCATACTGATGTGGGATGAACCCTTATCCGATACGAATGCTGTCCTTTACAAGAGGAAGAGAACCAGAGACACAGGAAACCAGGGGCAAAGACTGCACTGATGTTGCCAGAAGTCAGTGAACCCATGTGTCTACCAGAGCTCCCGAGGACTCTTCCCCTAGAGCCTTCAGAGACGGCAAGCCTGCCCATGCCCTGAATTCAGACTGTGGCTTTCAGAACTGAGATAGAATACTTTTGGTTGCTGTAAGCTGTTCCGTTGGGGCTACTTTGTTAGGGTAGCCCTCGGAGACAATACAAGAACCCTGACATTCAGCTCCTGGAGGTTGTGAAGAGTGTTAGATCTTGACACAGAAGAGTTTGGTTCAAAGGCCAGCTCTTTGAATACCTCTGTACACGACTGCAGAACCAAAGGTTCCCTGGGTGGTGCAGATGGATAAATTCTTGACTACTGGCCTACAGATTGGCTGTTCGAACCCAACCAGAGGCACCTAGGAAGGCCTGGCATCTGTTTCTAAAAGATCACAGCCCCGAAATCCCTGTGGAGCACAGTTCGACCCTGCACACATCAGTGCAAGTCACCTTTACGGCAACTCACAACACAGAACTGAGGCAGAGTATTTTAAATCAGGAACAAGGGTGGTTCTGCCTCCCATGGCTTTGATGAAGAATCAGAAGCTTTAGGAAAATGCTTCGTAAGCTATAAAATGT